TAAATATATGTATGTTACATGCAAAGGCTGGGCAAGTGCAGAGACCGAGTGCTAAGTGGCTTATTACGATTATAGTTATTGTGTCCATTGTACTTGGTGCAATTGAAAGTAATTTGCTTGTTTACACGCCACGAGAGAGAGAGAGAGTTGGGCAACGCCAACGAAAGATTTTTGCTGAAATTGACGTCACCGGGTACCAAATCCATCATACGCCACGTGGCCCAAGGTCGACGCTTTGTTCCCTTATTTAAATTTCTAATAGACCACCCGCCCTGCCCCACGTTCATCCGGCCACTTTTTCACTTGTGCATAATCTTTAATTTAAACAAATGCCGAAAGCCAGAAATAAAGCCCAACGAGAATCTGCACCCAAGCCGAAAACTAAAAATGGACGTGTCGTGCGAGCCAAATAAGCCACAAAAAATAGAAGCAAAAATGTTGTATATAATATAAAATAAAACGTTGGGATATGGCCAAAACGGTTGGGGTTTAAAAGCAGAGCGGAAACTGTCGTCGAATGGACGTGGCGGAGGGTAGAGTGCGGGATCCAACCCTATATAGCAGCTCCTCTTTAAAAGCGGTCTGGCTTATCTGAGCTGCGGGGTATTAAAGCGTTTACCTTGGGACTGAGTAGGAGTTTATCAAATGAATAAATTGTGGCTCTAAATTACAATTTCTGGGAAAACTTTTAGGACTTGCTACGCAAAAATCAATAAATTCTTGCCTTTTCAAACTTTTAGTTAATTAGAGCTTAGGGATTTTTAAAAGACAGCTAAATTCTCTTCTTTGAAGTTCCATAAAACTAGCCTGTTTGAGGCTGAACTAAACCATAACAATTTAATTTAAGATCTCAGTTAATTTTAAAGACTTAAGAGCATCTCCTAGTCGACTTGCCCTGCAAAATGTACTTATTTGTTTGGGGCTAGACTCGTGCTCGTGCAGTATTTTCGCAAATTCCATCAAAGCCGCTGCGGCTTTGGACCTTGCTGTTGGCCACTGCGCCCCAGAGCCTTTTGGCCAATGTTGCTGCGATGTTGCTGCTGTTGCAGTGGCACGTAAGGAATTGACCGGGAAATGGTAGGGAAGTGGGTGAGTGCTGCGACACATAAAGTGCTTCCTGCGAAATGTGCGGCACGCGTTGAATTCTGTTTTCGCCCTAAACTGCAGAAAAGCTTTAAGTCTAAGAATTCTATATAATGAGTACCTAAATGTCTGCATTTAAATTTCTAACGAAGGATAATAAATAGAGTCATTGCCCTGGCTACATTTTAAGTAAATAAAGTTATATTATTCTCTATGTTTTGGAGTATATTTGAAAATGCATGCAACAAAGAGTAATTAAATAGCTTTGAAATCTTTGTCTTGTGTGTCAACTCTTGACCTGGTTAATGCCAATGGTATTCTGCACATTTCTTGGCCTCAGTTTCAGTTCAGATTTTTAAGATTTCTCCCTTTCTATCTGAAAACTGGGGGTTTTGTTAGAAATTTATTTATCAACGCTTTTTGTATTTCCGCTGCGGCTTGCTGGCCGGGCCGTTGGGCTTTTTGTTTATTTTCATACACTTCCTCATTTTTAATTTATGACAATGGGACCCGGCTATTGTGAGGGCCACGCCCATTCCAGTCGCTAGTCGCCACCGCCCATGGCCGTCCTGCAGTGTTATTGTAACTGATGCTCTTATAAATGGCCTCTGCCCCGTCAGACAGAATTTCGTTCGTCGCTTTTATCGCCGAAAACCGGAAAGTGGCGGCGGATGGCGGGAAACTGGGTGGCAGAGACAGAGGGGAGTGGTGGTGGTGTTTTCAGTGGGGCACACGTACACTTTGTATTTCCGTTGGCCCCCCATTGTCCTTGACAGTTTCATTATGACAGCTGGCGGGAGTCGCCTTCCACACCCTGTTTTCCCTGATTTTGGTTTTGTTTAGTTCCGCATTTGTGCTATTAAAGTGTCATCTTGTTGCTGCTGCTGCTGCTTTTGCTTTTTGGTCTAAAACAATGGCCAAGTGTTGGCATTATTATTATTATTATTATGATTATCATTATCATCAAACGCGCTTCCTCTTCCGCCGCACAAAGCGCAAAGATAATGGTCGAAAGACAAGCGGACCAGATAAAACGCTGCCATTCATGCTCTTGACTGATTTTTAGTTAATTTCATTGGCTTTGTGTTTCAGGATAAGGAAAAATAAGTAGGGGACTTTATTGCGCAATCAACTGCCAATTGCAGGAGTCTTTTCTCAAGATTTAAGATCGGGTGTCCTAGCTTTTATAAATATGTATCTATTGAAATTTAAAATAAAAAGTTTAAGCCGCAACCTCAAGCAAATAAATAACCATTAAATTCGATTAAACTAATGCAATAATTCATGTTTTGGTTTTTGAAAAATGTTGTCAAATAAACTTATTTTATTCTGTAAAAGATACAGACTAAAGTTTTAAATCTCAATAAATCTCCTGCAAAAAATAGATTACTGTTGTATCTTGTATCTTTAATACTTTACATTTAATGCTTTTAATAACCTTGTTGGCTTCATAATTAAGTCTGAATAATCCCAGTTGCTCCTTAACACTGCCCTTAGCGAGATGATGAATTTGCTGGGGCTGCCAAGTGAAAATCCGAAACTGCACAAATATTTAATTGAAAATAATTTACGCCCCCAGCCGCGAAATTTGACGGCTGTGTCTGGGTCCGGTGAATTCGCAATATTACGAGCAGTCAGACATTTGCGCATTTCTGGGATTCTGGCTGGAATCTGGCCGTGCGAGTATTAAAAGCGAGCAGGCCGCTCGGGATTTATGACTGCAGCCGGGCTTTTCCAGCTCCTTTTGGCTCGGTGGCCGGGGCGTACATAAATATGCAATTATTTTGCATTTTCCGCTCTCGCGCTCGATATTTATTTTTATTTTTATTTATTCGCAGATGGCGTTGGCTGCGGCGCTGCGGTCTCACGCACATTTCTCCATGTTTATGGCAATCGAGAGACGACTCCTCAACCCTCCAGTTGCAAGTTGCGAGTTGCGAGTTGCGAGTTGCGAGCTTCGACTTTCAGCAAATTGACTTTTACACAAAGATGCGGGTGCCGAGCGCACACACTCGATGCTCTGCTTTATGCGACACATTTATTTGTTGATTCATATATTTACTCGTATTTATGTGCATAATTTGCATTTGACATATATTTTTATGGAGCCAAGAGGAATCAAAATACTTTATTCGACATGCAAATATTTTGATATTGGTTCCCGGGTGCAGACACAGCATATTGGGCCATATAATCACCAGCAAAAAAATCTCTTTGCTTTGGGCTTATTTAATGCCATTAATATTCGTTATATTATGCTTAATCCAAGGCAAAATTGACTGAAAAAAAATGTATTCTATATAAAATTCTATGATGGAGCAATAGATATTTTTACCCCTTGTGAAATATAATTTTCAAATAGTAATTAACAAGCTTCTAGTTTCGTCTAGATTTAATTTCCTTTTTTGAAAATAACAATTATTTCCCTAAAACTGCATAGTTGTCAATAAATTGTCATTTTTGATTTGGTGAAGCAAAACCGAATGGAAATTCTTTGTACATTTTGCCTGAAGATTATCTTGCAATTTAATCGGAATGTTTCAGATAAATATTTCGATTGGATATCTCTCTATCTCTCCTTCTGACCCTTTGCTCTGTTTTTTTTGTTACCAAAAACTTCAAAGCCAAATGTGAATATCCGGAGTGCACATACACACCCTCATACACCCACACATGTGTACTATTTGGACAAATATGCTTGACAAAATTCCGTAATTTACATGCTGAAAATTTGCCAGTCTGTCTATATCCTTTTTTTGTTTTACAACCATTTTTATTGGATCTTTTGCGGAGTGTGGATGCGAGTCAGTGAGTCAGTGAGTGAGTGAGTGAGTGAATGAATGAGTGTTTTAACAAATTGAAATGCATTGTGAGTGCCGTCGAGGGTTCTCCCATAGTGTAATTTGTGTGCAGCTTGGGTTATTACTCGTGCTTATTGTTGTTGCCGGCAGCCTTTTGTGGCATCGATAAGCCCCTGGCATATCGCATTTTATTTGCCAGCCAGGCGGCAAAGCTGCAAGAAAAATGTTTGTTCATTTAAGATAAATTTATTGTTGTTGTCGATGCAAATTGCAACATTTATTGAATTGTTGCTGCTGTTATTATGACTGCCAGGGGCGATGCCGCGCTCGTAAATAGTTGTGCAAATAAATTGCGAGCGCAAATAAATCGCAGCTCGCAGGCGATAGCCGAGCGTTTATGACACTTTTGGGTAGAAGCTGGTAGGGACTGGTGGAGACTCGCTGGGTTTATCGTTAATCGGGTTCATAAATTTCGGGTAACTATTTGATCTGCACGTTGAGAAAATCTCACAATTGTGGGTTTCAGCTGGGAGTAAATTTAAGGTAAGTCTTTCAGGTAATAACATTTAAAAGAAAAATGTTAACATATTTGTTTTTAAGCTCGTAATTGGAGTGTATATCGAGGAGACATTAAATATTCTGAAGCTATGGACTAAAACAATTTCTTAGAAATCTTTCTATATCGATCAAAAGTCGGACACGATAAAACTTAAATTCATATCTTAAGTATCGTAAACCTTATTACCTCGATATCAATATTTAAATATCGAAAAATATTGCACAGAAATAATAAATGTATAGAAAAATGTGATGCGATAAAGCATACAAAATATAGATATCGCAACGCTAAATTATCGAATGAGATATCGGTCTAAGCTGTATCTTTAAATGTATGTTTAGTGTTATTTTCTTTAAATACGTTAACTTAATTGATATATTATTATTACAAGAAAGTGTGTATTATAACCTTTATTAATATTATTATTTGTTATATATGAAAAACCCTTATATGGTATATTCTCGTTTTGGTAATAATATACATGGTAATTTAAATACCCCGAAAACTATACACAAATGTATACAGAAATGCAAAGATTTTCGCATGAGTATACTCACCATGGAGCGTAGCCAGCAGCAGGACTCCAAGCAGGCGCAGCAGGCTCATCTTCAAATCCTTTCCAATTTACTTGTAATCCAGCGCCGAGCTGCTAGTCTAATGCCTTTCCCAGGGCTGTGAAATGAGACTGGGATTGAGTCGTTGCCGGAAACGCGTTTACATTGCCGCGATAAGAAGCGGAAGTACTCGGCTCAAGGAGGCGGGAGCAGCAGCAGCTGGAGCAGGAGCAGTGGCAGGAAGTCGTGTGGCAGGAGCTGGCTCCGACTCTGATTTGGAATCGCAGTCGCACTCGGATTCGGGTTGAGAATCTTTAGCGCAAGAAGCACTGCCCCCGTTGGCTGCCAGTTTGCTGGGCTTTAAATGAGGCGCACCACCCGCTGGGTGTCGTTCCCGTTGATTTTCCCTGCTGGTTTTCCTTTGTCTTGCCGGGGAATCCTGGTTTCATTGCTCGCCGTCGCTCAGTTAGCTGATGATATTTATGGCCACGTTAGTTGCCCCTCCTGGCTGGTTGCATTTTATTGGGCCAATTAACGCCGCGGCTGCACTTTCACTGCTGTTGGAAATTGCGCGCCTTTAAGGAGTTTGCATATTAAACCCGCTGGCACTTGGAACATGCATCATCTCCTGGCTGAGAGACTTTTGCTAGCTTACATGCATGAAATCCACGCTAAAGATTTATCGTTTTTGGTCTCTACTCCGCAACTCGTGTTGTTGTTTTATGGCTTTATGGTTGCACTGTAAAATAAAAAGGGGTACCAAACATTACAATTTTAATTAAATATATTAGAATGTCTCTTAGGTAATTTTTGTGAACTTCTTGGCATATCCCTAAGCAATTAATGTTTTTTAATCGTTATTTTAATGTCCCTGTAATTTCTCCTTGTGTACACTGTTGCGTTCTCGGAATTTAGCGTCTGTCTCGATGTTGCCTGACTTTCAGACGCTGGCTTTGGGCTGTTTTAGCCTTGGCTTAAAGTCGAGACGAGACATGAGGAGAAGGCAGGGTAAACCTGCCATTCCCAGGGTTCCGTATCCCAGAATCCCAGCACCCAGATCCCCAGTTACCGTGACACCCGTGACCCATGTGGCGTATACGTCATGCGGATTGTCCTTTGTGCCATGTGAGCGACCACGAAGTGAGCAAATGCAAGCGGAAGGATAAATCTCAGAGTATGTGGCAATTTAAGGGTGATTCACACAGATGTCTTGGGATTTATAATATACAAATGAGAGGAATTTAATAGAATCGATAGTTATTTAATTTAAGTATTTATTTATAGATCACTTTGATCCAAATCAACCGCTAGCAATAGCTCTTAGTCTTTTGCCTTGAATTGACCCAGTTGCTATATTATCGCTCCGTTTTGTGTCAGACTCTCAGCACATTCATCTTGTGCCGTCTCATCGCTTTGGCTCCAGCACACAGGAATGCCAGCGATTCAAAACTCAATCTGTAATACACTGCCGGCTACTTGGCTCCATGGGCTTGGACTCTGTCTGCCTGCGCTGCTTTCCCATGTCACTTTTGGCCCGCATCGAGGCGCACGCCAAACGTCTGACAAATCGACAGTTGAACGCTGCAGGCACAGCCGAAGGAACCCAAGGACCAGGTTTGGGCCTCCCACTCCCCATTTCCATCCTGAGCGGACCAAATCAAATTGGCCGCCAAACGTTGGCTGGCGTCAAAAGTCATCCATCAAGGACGTGGAGCAGGAGCAGGTCACCAGTAGAGCAGGAGGGGGACACAGGATGGGGCGCATTCAACTTTGCATGAAATTGGCTGTGTTTAAGCCAACGGCAATGGCAACAATGCCAGCTTAGAGTTGGACTTAGTCTAGGACACTGCGAGGAATTGAAATTTTAAAAACAAGGTATTGGAAACTATTAAATTCCTGTAATATTATAATTTCTGATGCAAATTTTACGGCAGCCGCTTAACAGCTTTGCTTCATTTTAACTAAAGTTTTTTTTTGGGATTATAGCATAAGAAGGAACAGAAATCGGCTACACTATAATTTATGCCTATGAAAGGTGTCAAGACCCAATAAATATAATATTCTTCTTAAGTTATATTAATATTCAAATAAATAAGAGTATTAACCTTCTCCAGAATTCGTCCTTCTATTTATGCAAATATTTTTGTATACAAGCACATAATTTATTTCAAGTGTAACGCCTTCTACGATGGTGTGAGCCGAGTTTGCTTAGAAAGTCGGAGTATGAGATCCACCACTTGAGACTTAATAAACTGAGCCCGCCGGGCAGCACGAGCCGAGAAAAAAAGTACCGAAAATGTATGTAAATAAATAAACGCTTAACTCTTTTCAAAGCCAAGTTCGTGGGGCGAAAAAAACACAGTAAATATGTATATAAGTATATAGGAAGCAGCAACGAGTTTTGTGCATTATTTTGCCTAAGTCCCCCGGCGGCATTATCATCAATTCATCATCCAAGGGAGGCGTAATGGGGGGCGTGGCAAGGGAGGAGGTCTAAAGAATAAGGGATGAGGCCGTTTAGCTGCTTGTGATGCGGTTCTGTTTATTTAATTTCGACAGCAAAAAAAGAACAAGTTACTCAGTCGGACCGAGTGTATAGTATGTGTAAGCAGTACGGTGAAGATTGAGTACAGTGAAACAATGCAAAAAATAACAACGATTAAATTTGCTAATAAAGATTTTGATTTGCTTTCTTAATAAAGATTAATTTATTTCGATTTATTTTTAGTTCCTATTAAAGAGAAATTATTGAACTGCCTAAGAATTCTTGTTTAAATTTTCTTTTGTTCTAAAGTAATTACATTTTAAATGTTTTCATTTGATCCATATTACATATATATTTTTTTTATTTGCACATATTATAGTAAAGCGTTATTTTGTGTGTGTTTTCTTTAAAGAAAATGCACTGTTATATGTGTAAGTTATAGTGTGTGTGTGTTCGTGTTAGCCATTGCGGCTGTGGCAGCGTCACCAACATAGCCACAACTAACGCCAGCGGCTACGACTGTGTGAGAGTGTTGGTCGTACACTGTAAGAAAATATATATAATATTTGGCACTATATGTTCTTTGAAATTTGTATATTTAAATAATCGAAAATGGTAGACTTCCTAGGACATCAAAGAGATATAGAATAACAGCTAAATGTAGCTTTCTATATATTTATGAACCCCTTGAGTTTTCCCCAGTGCATCTAAGTGTGTGTGTTCTTTTTTTATATTCCACTGTTGCTGTTGCCTTTGCTTTGGCTGCTTTTGCTGCTGCTGCTGCGGCTTTCTATGGCCAAACAACAGGCGAGCTAACAGCAGCACATGAGTCAAATAAATTACCCCAGCATTGTTGTTGGCAAATTTTTGATGGTTTAATTTTGTGGAAAATAAGTTAAGCCGCTGCTGCGGCGGCCATATAACACACACTCACACACAGTACAGCATACCAGTAATACACACACACGCACACAAACATGAGCACATCGAGAGCGGGCCAGAAATTGTTGCCTACTTTGCTGCGCCGCGTATACGCAATAAAATAAACGCGTCGCAGTTACATTTCCGGCTCGACTCAGACCAAAAAATAAAACAGTATGGAATGGCGGCGGCTCAACTCGGCTTCTCGGCACATTTTATGCCGCATTGCCATTTTTATTTATTTATTTTTATTTGTATTTGCCTTTGGCTGCCGCTGCTGTGCGCCCTTTATTCATTCATTTATAAATTATTATTGCAAAACACTCGTCCTCCGACTTGCCTCTTGAAATTCTGATAGCGTGTGTGCATTGTTTGCCTAAAAAATGTATGAGTTAATGAGTTTTTCTCTGGAAAAATAAAGTAGACAAATGCTTAAAAATCTCCACGATTCGGCCTTTCAAAAAGCCAAGGCAACCGGAGCTCAAGTGAAGCTAAAGTGAGTGGAAATCATCCGCATATCTGCTGTTCCTTGAGCGCCATTTCAAGGATATATTTGGACCAGCTAGCCACTTTTTTTCTCTCGTTTTTTAATGTTTTTTTCCATGCATGGAAGCTGCCTGTATATTTGCTCCTTTTTTATTTTGTCAAGCTCGTGCGACGGCTGTTTTGAATTGAGCCACATCATCATCATCCACTTTGTCATCGTCATCGCCACAGCCATCATCATCGTCATCATCATCTGAGCCTGATGGCTGACATTGTCAAAAGGGTTTAAGTGGCTACACTTGAACCAGGAGAATCAGCAGCAGCAGCAGCAGCAGTTCAACTCCTCATCCCCTATCTCTAGACAAATATGAGAGCTACGGCGGAGTGGGACAAGATTCGGGAGGGAGGGATGGAAGGTAGGAATGGGGCATGGGGCATGACAAGAAACTTCTCCCCGTTGCCAGGGAGCAAGTTTAAAGCATGGCGAGTCCTGGGGCAGTGCAAAAGCGGAACGAGCAATAGGATGAAAATTTAATGTGATATTGATTTCGATACTCCATAAATAATATTCAACGCAAAAATGGTGAGCCAAGTCCAGCATTTGAGGTTGTGGATGAAGCATAAATTTTATTCTTTAACATTTTCCTAGGAATTTAATTGCTTGGAAGAAATATGTGGTCGATATTTTAAAATTGCAGAACTTGGTCTTAAATTCAATGACTGTAAATAGCTTCAGTAGGGAGTTTGTCTTAAATATATTAAATTACAAATAAAACGAAAATTTCAAGCTCTATGTAAAAAATATAATATTATTAAAGCTTACGGAATGTTTGCTATTTATTTAACTCTAGAATTATTAGCTCCAGTTCAAGTATTGAATTTGTCATAACATTTACAGAACAAAAAGCACAAGGATCTAATATCAAATATTTCCGACAAAAAACTGTGATTTCATTTAAATATAACATAGGCATAATATATCCTTGTTCAGGTGTTGCCTTGATTTAATATAAAATGTGAATAACATAAAGTGACTTTTTAGTAATATGAAGAGGTTCTAGTTTCATTTGTACAAATGTTTGATGTACCGAAAAATTTAATCATTTTACTTTACCCAACTCTATACTATTGCCTTCCACTTAGTGTTTAGGAATTTTAGCCC